GTGAGACTGAAAAAGACTAAAAAAGACTCTTTTTTGATCAAATAATAGCCCTGTTACTTACTTTCTTATTAATTAAAGCCGGCTTTGAAGGAATATAGTCATACATATATTTACGGAGTGAAACATTTTCGATTAAACGTGGGATTTTTTTTGAAACAAAGTCAAGATTTTAATCGATGAAGTTGATTGCCTTTGACTTCTCACAAAGAGAATCCAGGCAATCAATGAAGTTCTTGGTTTCGTTTCAGAACAAATCACTGTTTTAATCGAAAGTTTTGCACTGCGTGCGTATATATATATATATCTGTATGTATGTTTCTGGGCAATTTGATGATATTTGTTACAGCCGTTCCTGTGAAAAATTCGTTAGTGGTTAGGTTCGACTTCAATAGTTGCACTTATATTATTTCACTATGAGTACCAAACGAGAGAGTACGTCGCTGTTTTTCCTGAATATGCTGTTGACTGGTACCGTAAAAAGTAGAGTTTGTTTATATAATGGCTGTTGGTTTGTAAATTAGTCAGTTTTGAAGGACACATCTTTGACAGAATATTATTATGAATAAAATTGCAGAAATGTTCAGGAACATGTGGCATTGAAAATGATGAAAAACAATTTGTGTTATGATTAGAAGTGTATAGTCACTTCAGCACTTATAGAAATACCCCTGGGTTGATCTCACATGACGAATACTATGCATTCAATGTTTCATTGATGAAAAGAAAGTTTGCGGCATCTATAACTGTTAAGAGACAATCCTTTTTCGTTGTATATTTATATTTTAAAATTCATAAAAATTTTTACGTTTATTGATTAATGCCAGTCACGATTACACTAAATTGTTTTAGCGGTCACTTATACAATGAAGGTTCAATCAGGTTTCACAATGATGGTGAAGAAGGGAGGACTTGTTTTTGTTTTTTTTTTGTTTTTTTTGAGGAAGATCAATGCGGTAAATGATTTGTGCACTTATCCCACCACTTTACTAGTTTAAAACTCATCAAATGGTCGAACTTCAGTCTTATAACATTGTGGAGTTCTTTATATTTTGAAATCACAGCTATTGTGATTGAAAACTATTTCCGATGGTATTACATGTTTTTGCTTTTGTTCTAGATTATTTGTTTTTACAGTTCATCTTTTACCATGCGTATAAGAAAGACATATCGTAAAAAGACAATCGTTGATAAAGAAAAGAGAATTTAACTGATAAAAATAGTAAGTTTTACGTCTAAATGTATCATGAAGGTGTGGCCCTTAATTTTAGCTGATTACGAACAAATTTTACCGATTATGATGGAAAATTCAAAGCATTCAGAAACTAAAAATAATTCTTATATTTATTTGGTAAAATCAAAAGAAGGACAATCTGCACAAAAGGGATTTGATATGTTTTATCATCATCTGACGTAAATGAAGATATTCTTACTTCGTTTCTTCGTGATGATACACATGTAGCAGAAGGTAGTGAAGATATTAGTTCGTTTTTTCGTGATGATACAAATGCAACAGAAGGTGATGAAGATATTAGTTCTTTTCTTCTGAAGGATATAAATTTACCAGGAAATAATCAAATAAGTATGTTTGTAATTATGTCCTTAAAAAATTATGTTTTATTTATAAATTCAGTTTTTGCTAGTCAGCAAGGTCAAAAACGATCATTTGAACATCATACTGATATAATGGAAAATGAAAAGCGTTCGAATTTGTCAAATGATGTGTCTTCTGAAGATATGCCGAATTTAAAAAAAAATTGCTGCACTTGAAGCTAAACTTGAGAAGTTAAAGGCTGAATAGATAAGTATGTAATATTTATTTTTAAATTTTTTCATACTCTTTTACAAAATATGTTATACGAACATAGATAAATATTATCAAAATTTAGGTTTGATCTGATAAGTTTTTCTACGACTCATCGCATAAAAAATGTAATACTCTTTATTCTTAATTATTTGTATATTTTTCTATTTCGTTTTGAGAATTAGGCTGTAATTCCTGGAAAAAACTAGAATTTTTTCATCATTATAAGATAATTGTTATATTAATAGAGCAGAACAGTTCTTTCCTTTAAAAAAAAATATTATACTATTTATAAGAAATTTTGCCATGTCGACTTAATCATTTTTTCTGTTTAGCTCGTCCAAAAGATCCAAAGGTTATCCAACATTTAACTGAAGCAACAAATACGTCACTTAATGATAAAGGAAATACAATTTTTCATCAAGATACATCACTGGTGGACATAATGAATATACTCAATATGAATGAAGATCAACTTAAATTATGTAATAAAAAATCATCAACAGCTACTGCACGTTTAGTAATAAAATTTTTGTTTCCACATCCTGATTCTAACTTCAGTTATGTTGAAGCCGATAAAATCATTGTTGATACAATCATCAGTAAGTTCAGCCTTGCTTGTTTTTGCAATCAAGTAATATTCTTTTTTTTTACATAGAATACACAAAGTTTTCAAATCCTAATGATAATAAATCTAATGCAGAAGTTCGACGAGCAATTAGTAATTATTTTTCGCGTTTAAATTATCAAAGAAAAATAAGAAGAAATCATTAACTGTTATCAAATTGTTAAAAAATCAAACAAGAATAGTATATTAACACCTAGTAACGTTAAAATAAAAAAATTCTTTTTTTTCTTAACTATTTGTCATATACAAATATTTTTCTTGGTTTACTTGGTATCATTAGATTTCTTTTACTTTCATTTTCAAATTTACTCTTGTGGAAAACGTTTTTGTTTTTTTTTGTATATGAATATCATTGTGAAAAATTTATCTGGGTTATCACCAAATAATCGATATTGCATTAATTATGATGAAATGATTATAACTAACTCAACATCGATTATTTGGTTAATATTGAAAAACATCTTTTTGTATGGATAAAAAATGATATGATATATTTAAATTGATGTAATATTAAGACAAAGATACTCATAAAGGGTCTTTTACTTTTTTGTCAGTTATATTCAAGATGCTTTAATTTATTATTTCGTTTTTTTTTTATTTGCTGCCAACATTGTTTTATTTCTTTCATTTACATAGCTTTATGTTGTTCTTTTTTTTAATTTTATTTTGTACTTTCTATCAGAAGAACGTTACATGAGAATAAAAAGTAATCAGGAACGAAATACAAATGTGTTACATATCGAAATGAAAATCCTACTTTTAATTATCTAGTAGCGTATTGGCTAATCCATTTCATATTAAAATTGATATCTTGCACGGCTAAATGTCCATTTACACGAAAATGAAAAATATAATAAAAAAAAAAGAAACGATAGCGAAAGAAGTATCAAAGTTTAATAATGAAAAAAATTATAGAATGAAGTGATACTAATCATTATCTTCGCTCGAATACTTGCTTCTTTTTATAACAGCAAGTTCAATATGAATCAGACGATCAATAATAGTTTTATAACAAATAATGCAATATTATGTTCTTTACGTTTGCTTGGATGTACATATGTTGCAAATTACAGCTAAAATAGAAGTCATTTGATTAAAAAGAATTTTATTTGTTAGTTGCAACAGTTATAAGTGTTTATATTCCTTCCAAAAATTCAAATAGGAGATATAGACTCGACAAAGAACTCTGTTGTTTCAAAAAAACAAATAAAATCTAGGTTAGGTAGACATATGTATATATTGAGATCAAGATCGAATACAATTATAAGAAAATTTTATTTGACTGATGAAAATGATGCAGCTTCCTGATGGAGATGTTATATGATCGAGATATTCACATTCTCTTTATAGTAACAATGATTTATCAACTATATCTGTAATACTAACATCGACTTGTTATCAGATAATCAAATGCGACAAATTACAACATCTTGTTAATGATTAAACCGTAAGAGCTTGTACATACTATGCGAATAAAAAGTGAATTTAGAAATGTGCTGGTGTTTTCTTGTGGCAACATCAATCATCTTTCTTAATTCACTTTTAATTCATGTAGTATGTACAAGGACTAACTTCTCGTGTGAAATGTTGGACAAATATATTTTCATCAAATTGTAAGTGGTGTACCGAAAAGAGATAAATTAAGGAACTTTTTTGTTAACCTTGATAGAGAATAATTATAGAATGACTAAAAAGTAGTATCGATTATTAACATAAATAATTTCGCATCGATAGGTATTTATTTTTTTGGAATTAAGTTCCTTATTTTGTAGATTTAGTTTTTTATACATTCCAGGAAGTCCAAATTGCTCAAGTGCTTCTAATTTTTCTACTTGTAGTGATTAACTTCAATAATAGGACCTATTGGACTTTACATTTCATATAAATTCCTTGCAAAAGTAGTGTCTCGATTAATGAAAATGATTTCTTCTTGATAATGAAAGCAATTGTGCTATGAATCAAAAACGAACATGGATGTTTCAAGTATGTTAAAGCAAATTGTTCGTCTCAGGGCTAGATATATGTTGTATTATTGTTCGTATTATTTTTCTAAGCATATATCTGTTTCATCCCATTAATGTTGAAATTGGTCCACAATGTTTAAGTTCTTAAGACCCCCCCCCCCCCCCCCTCAAAAAAGTCACTTTTCGTCACAATCATGGAAATTGAGATAAATACATAGGAAGATAGCCTGTCATTTGCTCTTTCATAAACGATAAAAATTTTTCTTCGATACCTCCTTTTCCGAAAAATTTTCAAGATTTCTGATAACTTCTATTCGAAAAACCAGTGGTTTTTGAAAAAATCCAAAAATCTTTTTCTTTTTTTCTCAAAACGGTGGTTGAGCGGCGCATCTCCAGTGAAAGTCAACTATAACCCGACATAAAGTCAAATATTTTTTTTTGTTTGAAAGAGCATCAAAAACTGCAGTGCCTATGAGAGCCCTTTTTTTGATAAGACTTTGCTATTATTATATTGATAAGTAAGTTTATTATGCGAGCGCCATTTTTTTGAGGGATTTTTGAGTAATTGAACTTGGGAAACCTTTTTTCCTTCATAAAGATAAGAATAAAAAAAAAGGGCCCTCATAGGCACTGCATCCTGACATGCTCTTTCATATGAAAAAACAATCAACCATATTGAATGAATACCCATAGAGATTTTTTGGAGACGCGATAAGCTATTTTTTTACCCTAGTTTGATTCGTACCTATCTTATACATGGGGATAGGAGGCTGAAAATTTCACCACAGACGTACTTTAACACCCCCAATATATCCTCAAAGTTTCAAGGCATCTCGATGTTCCTGAGCTGAGATCGATTTTTGAGGGGGGGGGCCTTAATAGACATAAAAAAAACATAAAAAACACAAAACAAAGTTCAGAATGAGAATAAATAAAATTCACACCATCAGTATTCTTAAGTGATAAATAAAAATTGTCATTCAGATAATCAACAGTAGTGTAATTCTGCTTTGAAAAGAAGTAAATGGTGAATTTTCATACTCTCATTGTTTTGATGATAAAATGTGGACCATGGATTTAGTTGATGCGCGAAAATAATAAGGTAATAAAAATAACTAGAATAAAATGAGATGAATCAAAAAGAAATCTCTATGAGAAAAACATGAAAGAAAATCAATAGAGTTCAAGTTTATTTCACTCAGCATGTGTTTGTGTTGAAATCAATTGATTACATGTAGATGAATGGTCTTCCACATGAGTATGAGTACGTAAAGAATTTCGAGCCAATTTGATTGACTCTCGTCGACGTTCTTCGATGAGAAGGGTGTGGGTGT